CACTGAGCCTTTGAGTCGTCGTCAACAGTCCACTTGTCAAACTGTTCTGTTGCCGACGGCCTCATTGAAGGCGTACAACCCGAGTGGTGACTGTTTAGCGGTTCGCGCTCTGTTGTATTCGGGTTCACAATGCCGTGTGGCCTCCACTTGGTTGGTGGGAAGACTAGGGCTCCCCTGGAGCGTTGAATCACGCTATCAAAGAGTATTAGATTTGGTTTTGGTCGAGCACTTAATTAATAATGCTTTAAATTAAAAATAAAAATGCTTTGAGTTTTCCGCGAAATGTTTCATAGCTGTAGCGGTTGTGAGTAAAAAGGTGAATTTAATATACTCCTTGAATACGAGTGCATATGTTTTGTAAAGATATTTAATCTTTATGTTTTCTTTGTTGAGTGGAAAATTGAAATTGAGTAACACTGTTTGTGCCGAAAGAAATAAAAATCAATCCTCTCGTTTTTTTTCCTATTTTTGTTGGCATTGTCGAAGATATTTATATTGAAAAAAAAATGGCTTTCTCTTATGTTTGTCGTTTTGCTTAATTTGTCTATTTTGATCTATGCGCATCAAGAAATAAATTTATTGCAAGTTATTTTCAAGTTTACATAGTGGTTTTGAGTCTCGATGCTTTTGAAACTTGGTTGAAATATAAGCATAGGGCTACATGTCTAAAAGGCTAGCTAGTTGGGAGATTATCAGATTGAAATCAGCTGCTGCACAATTGAGTAAATGATTATATGGTAGATGGTTTGGTTATGCCTACTTGCGTGAAAAATCATACTAAGGACTATCTGTGCGTTTCGTGTGCCTCTCCACTGAGGCCGTTCATTTGGAACTTGTGGGTGCCCTCAGCACTGAAGCCTTTGGGGCCACGCTGGGCCGCTTCGTATCGCGTCGCGGTTTCCGGACCTGATCCGGTCTGATTGCGGAACGAATCTGGGCACAGATAGATGTTTGAAAGCGGTCGTCGAATTTCTGTCCCGCAACAGGACTTATTTAGGTGCTGTAATGTCCAGGAAGGGCATCCAGTGGAGGTTCGACTCTTCGGCTTGCCTACATTAGGGCGGTATTTTGAAGCGGTGGTTACGGTTGTAAGATCTGATGGGGTGCCTAGGGTAGCCGAGGTTTTGGTTGGAGATTCGGTCAACGGGATACCGTTTGCCAATTTACTCGCGGACATAAGGCCTTATGCCCGGGACGGGGGTTTGTTTGCGCTAAATGTTATTATTTAAAACTGCATTACGAGCGCTCGCGTCCCATACCAACAGGGCTCGCTGCCGGGCCTCTCTTCCCCGCGCGCGTTTCTCCACTCACGCCCGGTTACCTGATGTGGCGATTAACGGGACTGGTTTTGCGGAGGCGTCGAGCGCCACGACAGTAGCTCGTCGCGCGGGCCATCGTTTAGTATTGTTTTGCGACCGCTGGGTTGGTTGCGTGCAGCCGGTGTAGATTTTTTGACGGTCTAGAATTAGAGTAAATTGTGCGCGCCTAATTTACTATTGAAGATTTGGGTCTCGTGTAGACCGCCTCGAATTGATTTGTCTGATTTGTACGTTTCGTGACGCGAGGCTTTGTATTGGGTTTGAATTATTAACTTAACTTTGATTGACGTTAATTTGATTCGACTAGTTGCTTTGTGGCATTTTAATATCGTACGAAAGAATTTGGCTTGTTCGGGAGAACGCTGAACTTTGTGACTCAAGAAGAGACCGCGTTCGTTCCCGTGTTTGTAATTCTGTCTAGGCACAGTTTGAAGTTAATTAAGTGTACAATAAAGTTGATAGATTGAAGTAGTGTACGATAAAGTTGATAAACTGAAATAGTGAAATCGAAGCAGAAGGTTTCAATTGGGGATTGCACATTTGGAGAGAAGCAGCGCCTGGGGATCTAGACGCGCGCCAGCGAGTCAGGTTACACATTGTACACACTACTACACACTATTTACATGCACATTACTTATCACCTGACTGGTACCCTGTGGTCAACCCTACCTCCGGAGATCGGTAAGTTTTGTTTGATTAGCAGCCCTTATAGAATAATTATCCATAGGCCATTGGGCTCCACCCTTGGTTGCTCGTCGAGTATTCAGCTGATGGGCCCCGGGATAGTCGACTTTTGTCGGGGCAACTAGGGGCTTGTACAATATTAATCTGGAAGGGAATTATAGCATTCATGCAATTAGTAATGAAATAAAAAACAATTGTTACTTGTAAATATGCATTATTTTCTTGTTGGAGGCGAATGAATGCATCATGTGATCGCTCCTTTTTATTCTGGGCTGTGGGATAGCTAGTGGAAGGGGCTGGATGGCTTGTGGACGGGGCTGGATGGCTTGTGGAAGGGGCTGGATGGCTGGTGGAAGGGGCTGGTGGAATATTTTCCAACTCGTCTGCAAAGTAGGTGGGTACTAGAAGTGTTAATAAATTTAATTGTGTATCATGCTCCACCACCGACACTTCAACAATTTCCTGCTATAAAATTAGAAACATAAGCTTCACATGCTTTCTAAGACAAAGTTACACAAGACAAAATACTGTAACTAAATAAGTACACACATTTGCCTGGCCTTTTGAAGACTCTTGAGGTCCAATACCAGTAGAAGACTCAAACCCAATAATGTTTAAAACTTTTGTGCTCTTTTCGGACATAGTCGGTACTATTAATGAATTTCCCGTGGTACTGTATCCACGAGCTGCCGCTGCATGCTCTGTACGCGCACCCTTTTTTAAATCTTCTAACCTTTTTTAAGTCTGCAAATAAAAGAATATTTAAATACCTACTACTTTCTCGCCGTCAAAATTAGTGTATACAAATTTTATTTTGTGTACATACAGAATTTACCACGAAAATGTAATATGTTATGGACTAACCTGCTTCCACTGATCAATTGTTCTGTCTGACCCATACTCTTTTAGCATTTCCTTGAGAATTTGCCATTGGGAGTCTGCCCTTTTGTATCCTAAAGGGCCTGTGAACTCTTCAGTGGCAAGGTGGTTGTGAGTCGACATAAAGTCGACAAACATATTAATCTGTGTTTTGTTACTTCTTGATCTGAATGAAAAAAACAAAGAATTGTTAAATAATTGGCGATAAATATAGACGAACAGGTTATAAAATAGTATCGATTATTTGTAAACAGAAAGATTTGTAGAGAAAAATAAATGTTTACATTTCGCTTTCTTAAAACAATAGATACTTTACAACATTTTATGTGATAGTGTACATACTTTTTGGCGTTCATTTTAATAATACCTCTCCGTTTTAATTTTATTTGACGAAAGCAAAAATTGCGCTATAATTCTTATTAGGTAAGTTTGTGATTTTGTGAAATTTTATGTGTCGAAATCACGAACACAGATACAAAATAATGATTTTGTGACTTAGAGTAAACATCAATTTTGAAGTATTTTTTAGTTTTCTTATAATGGCAATAATTACGGGGATAAGTCTATCTCCATTTTATCTACTGTGGATATTATATCTACCGGTGTGCCCATGCTCGAAGGGTGGATAAAACTAAGCGAGGGGATAAACATTTTGTCCTTTCCCCGGGGATTAATTGTCTCCTGCCATGCTAGCCCTGCGGGATGCATTTTATTCAAATGACCTTGAAGTCTTGAAGGCTTCATCGCTTCGTTTGAAAACGTTTTTGGACAAAGAAGGCACAAAGGCAAAGATGGATTTGTCGAATTTTCAATGAATCTATATTTAATATATTCTGCGCTATATTGCGGTCTCGTCTTTTTTGGTTCCGACATGGCTTTGTTTTTACAAATGTGTAAATAAAGTGTTGAACTTGTTTAAAGATTGCGCGCGAAACCACTAATGAAAATATAAAAATTATTATGAGCTTTTATATAGGATTTAAATACAGCACGCACCGACAGGAATAAGATAAACACGCACAAACTCGATTATGTCTTTAGACGCTCAATCGTACTGAGCAAGTTAAGACAACTATCGATGAACCAGCCGATTGCTACCGGATTGCACCAATAGTCTTATTTAACAAAAACTTGTTACAATTATGATTGCGAACTGCGTACGGGCTATCCTACGAAGTCTATGTTAAATATATCTAGTTTATATACCATCATACAGGGCAGAAATATAAACTAATTATTCGATATTGATTATTTTAATTTTAGCACGATTTTTAATATTTTTTATAAGTCGAACTTTTGTCACTAATGCTCGAACAGTAATTCTGTAATTTCGACTCAATTTCAGTCATCTTCCATAAGGTCTAACTAAGTAAATGATAATTTTAAGATGATATCGTTCATTGTGGTACTGTTCAGTTGACCGAGTCGTTCGTGGAGAGCTTATTGCCAGTTAAGAAATTTGTCGCGGAAATTGGTGACTACATATTCATAATATATTAGTATAGAACTATTATATTAGGGTAGGTAAATTGTATGTTCATTACATACAATTTACCTACCCTAATAATTGTTCGTCGTACGTCATTCTTATACAGAATTTAACAGTTCATCATCACCATTGCCGGCTCATTACTTAGCAGAAGAGGGTTTAGACCAGTGGTGTGCAAAATTTCTTAATGGGGGGCCAGAAAGTTTAAAAAATTTCATAGGAAGGCCAGAACAATAGGAAAAATGCATTTTGTGTTGAAACTTTTAATCATATAAAACATTACAGCATTACACGCTTGCACAAATGTTTAAATTACAATTTTACTTTTATTCAAAGGCCCTGTCATGGTAGACGTGTGAGACATATGAAATTGCTTAATGATTTTCTATAATATTTTCAAATGCAGGTTCGAGCTGTGACGAAGTAACTTTCTACAGCGCGGAAAAGTGTTCATCAGTAAGTCTGTTTCTGATTGAGTTTTTCCGCAATTTCATGTCCGAAAAAGTGTGTTCGCACACATACGACGACGCAAATATCGTCATAATTTTCTGGGCGTGAGCAATCATCTTTGGGAATTCAGCTTTAAGCAGTGTTCTATAAAAATCTAGTTTTGTGGAATTTAAGAGCAGTTATTTTAAATGAGCGCTGCACTGCGTTTCAATAATTTGCAACTGCAATTCTGCAGAGATATTTTTCGGATTTACATTAAATGATATCGAGAAAACGTCTTGCGATGACTGAATGTTATTAAAATCTTGAAACCTAGTTTCAAATTCTGTGTGAAGATTTTTCAACGCCTGACTGAATTCTTTCAGTTTGTTCTCACTCACTGGTGCCGTGGATTTTAAACGCGGAAAGTGAATTAAATCGTTCTTAGTCATGCAGTTATAAAACAGAAAAAGCTGAGTTTTAAATGATTTTAGACAACCCCAAGCCTCATTTATAAATTGGTTCTGTCCTTGCAATTTTTTATTTAACCTGTGGTAGTGTTCGAACAAATTGGTAAAAAATGCAAAATCGATACGCCATTCTTTGTTTTCGAAGTTTTGGAAATCAGAGCATTTGTCTGTTTTATTCTTTAAGAAATCTTGTATTTCATCTTTTGAATTCCAGATCCGTTCAAATGCATACCCACAACTTAATCATCTTACTTTCGTGTGGTAAAGAAGGTCAGAATAATCTGCGTCGACTTCAATCAGATATTTTTGGAATTGTTGGTGTACCAAGCCCCGGGATCGAATCGTATTAATTAGTTTTGTAACCACATTAAGTACATGGGTAATATCTAGCGCAGCTTTACAAAGGACATCCTGGTGGATTATACAATGTAAAAATAGAACATCTTGATTAGGATTCTGGTTCCGAAAAATTCCTGAAAATCCTGAGTTTTTTCCAACCATATTTGGGGCTCCATCTGGTAGTTATATTGCATAGTTATGAAATACCAGCATTTAAATTTTGAAGAGTTTTGGAAAATTCGTTATAAATTATTTGCCCCGTCATTTTTCCTTTTAGTGATTGCAAACAAGCTAGCTCTTCAGTAATATTAAGTTCGTCATTAACGCCTCTAATACAGATCAATAATTGAGCAGTGTTACTTCTGTCCGTACTTTTATCCATCGTCACGGAAAAATATTTAAATTTTTGTATACGTTGCATAAATTGAGTCGAAAAGCTTGATGCGATGGCATCAATTTGCCTTGTTACTGTTTTTCGCGATAAGCTGACAGACTCAAACTTTTTTTTTCTAGGCATAAAATATTACTCACACTCACAATGCAATCTTTTACAAACTCTTCTTCCGAGTATGGTTTGTTATTTTTAGCAGTGTTATAAGCCACAACATATCCAGCCAGTTTAGAAGCTTTTTGAGCAGTGTTTAGCTTTATAAACATATTTCGTTGACCAGATATTGTTTTTTTAGTTTTTCACCTTTTTTCGGCGTCATTCATCAAAGCTTATTTGGTTTTAACATGCTTGATGTTAAAATGGCGAGCGAGGTTAAAACCTTTAAATACTTCCACTGCTTCATTACATATAAAACATACTGACCGTTGTATTCTGTAAAGAAGTATTTGCAAGCCCACTCTTCTTTCAGTCGACACTCGGAATCAAATATTCGTTTTTTACACGTCATTATCCCAAAAGCGGTGCTTATTTTTTCATACAATTATGAATGTAGTACGTCACTCAAACAAGCAAGAAAGAACACGGGACAAATTTAAAACAAAATTACCTACGTGAACAAGCAAAACTCTTATGTGTGGCTCGCTCGGTGACAGTAGGCGACTGAGTTGAGTTCATCACTCACCCGCGCCCGCGCCTCTCACTTCACCACGCTTCTTTGCGCCCCGCGACCCGCAACACATGAACTACGTGGATAGTCTAGCTGGCTCCTTTACTTATACGTCTATTATTCTACTAAGTAGAATCTACTGTATACTTCTGGACCGTCAAAATATACTATTCATGTCGAAGGACCGTCGGCGGGCCGAATTAAATGCTTTCGCGGGCCGGAGTTGGCTCGCGGGCCGTACTTTGTCCATCATTGGTTTAGACCATATTCCGCCACGTTGGCCAAGTGCGAGAATCTTTTGGAGAACATTTTTATTTTTATTGGAGGCATGCAAGTTTCCACACGATGTTTTCCTTCGCCATTTAACTGTTAAAATATTTTAACTAAGAAATAAAACAAATTTCGTGTTATTATTTTATATTTTATAAGAGTAATTGTGGTCATGATCTCGGAGTTGAAGCGGCCGAACTACGGGCATTTCTGTTGTGAAAGATGTAGACGCTTATATGTTTCACAAGTACATTATTTGGCGATTTATATTTTCTGTATCTGACAAGACTAAACTATAATATTTAAATCAAAAGCACTTACCAGAGAGTGAAATATCATTTACAAAATGGCGGCTCTAGTTCCAAATTTGTCCACATGAACAGATAAGTTGGTGGCACTATACTTACTTTTCAACATGAAGATAAACTACATACCTGCCGAGGTATGTACCTACTTTTTTTTTTTTTTTTTTTTATAGGATTAGGGTGACAAACGAGCACACAGTCCACCTGATGGTAAGTGGTTGCTGTGGCCCATAGACATCTACATCTATCCTCGTTTGCGAATCAAAATGCAGATGCGTTGCCACCCGTGAGGACTAAGATGGAATGCCTCATTTCCAGTAAAAAGGGCCTCCGGCCACCTGCACTCACCAAGCGAAACGCAGAGGTAAACCTCTACTTCACGCTGGTATTCTGTGAGGTCGTGGTACCACCCCGGTTCGAGCCGGCCCATCCGTGCGATAGCAAAAGCTGCCGCGTGGCTCTACCACTGTTCATGTTGAAAAGTACTTTATCATTATTTTATTTGGACACCACCGTCCAAGACACTCCTTGTAAACTAATAACTACCAACAAATATTATTATTTTTTATAAATTCTTATCACTTGGTATATATCTAGGCACACTCAAGTGTAATTTACCAGTATGTCTGTTACATACGAGTTCCCAACTACTTATAGCAAACTTTTACATATCAGTTTGTATTTATGAACATACTTAGTACATTTACATGTATATTACTTGCCACTAGCTCACTGCCTGAGTGGATACTATCACTAAGAACGGCGTCCAAACCAGTTTTACCTAACACAGGTTGTTATCAAAAGAAATAAAAAAAGAAATGGAAATATCGGTTTTATGGAAATGAATAACCGGTATAACTGATTTTATTATTTTTATTATACCTATACATAGTTATAAAAAGCGCACAGAGCTTTTGCTTGTCAATCATAGGTTACAAATTATTTCTCACTACCTCTCAATGGCATACCACGGTTTCGGCGGGAATCTACTAACTCTGGGAGAATTTGCGTATGGTAAAAGTTGACTAGTTATGCCTCTATTTTATTTTTTCAAAAGTGGTCATCTTTTTGGACATATATAACTTCAAATTTTTGGTTTTCCTCTCCCGATATCCCGAAAATGCATCTCTGCTTGCCCGTCACTCATAGTTGTCCTTGAGCCTGATAGTATCAGTTACTATTTTTTTTTGTAACTTGGGCATTCTTTTGTTGAACTTTTGAATTTGAACTTTGTTTAATAGTATTTTCCATTCCGTTATTGAAGGCGGCTAAAGGACATTTGACCCCAACGATTGTATTTTCTGCAACAACTCCATTCGGAGTGGCACCAATGTAAGGAAATTCTTGGTCCAAAATGTCCACAATCCTCAACCTATAAGTTTTCTTGGCTGCTCAGTTACTGAAGCGCGAATTTTTCATTGCTTAGTCCATGTGCCGCTGATGCGACAGATGACATATCGCACCCCTAGATGAAGACCCCGGCAAAACTACCGGTACTAAATGAATAACAAAGAAAAACGGAATACAATAATTAGTGTTATAAAATATTGTCCTTTTTATACCAGTTATTACTTAGAGACGAAACATTTAAACGAAATTGAGATTGTACACATATAATAATTAATAATTATGCGTTTTTAAATAATCACAGCAATAATACGTTAACAAAAAATTTTATCTCCCTTAAACGATAATAAAGTTGAGTATTCTTATCTGTTTACGCACTATCAGAATAATCTTAAAATGAGGTTAAGTCAGGACCCAACAACAAAATCATTACATCCATTATTTCCTGCCTCCTGAACTTGTTTTTTTCTTTTCAGTTTTTATTTAAAGTTAATAGTTATTTTTACGCAGTCGAGTTTTTTAATTTTTAATTACTTTTTTTTCATCTTAGTTTTACTTACCCCACAGTCTTAAAATTGCAAATCACAGTTTATTTATTGGTCTATTATTCTTAATTAGTATTCTCTAATCAAATAAATTGGTTAATGGCACAGAATTCTTAAACTAGTCTACCTACTTCTACTATAAAAATTCTAATGGTAACGTCATTACAAAACATTTTCGTAAAAACTATCATAGTAAGGCTTCGGAATCACATCTTTGTCTACGAGTTCTTTAATATCTTTCTTTTTTGCTTCAGACAAACTAATTTTTTCTGTGTATGCTCTGCTCAAACTCAAATTTAATGTATTACCAGGTGTTAATTCTACTGTGCGTCTAGTCTTTCTCTTGTTCACCCAACATTTTTTAAATTCAGTCTCTGCAAATGTCGTTTTATAGAAAAAGGCCATTGGACTTTCTTTTTCTACTTTGAGGATTTTTATATCATGCCACTTAACTTGGTTGTTACTTTCATCGATATTGAAATTTGTGCCCCGAGCTTCTTGCAATACTTTCAAGTCATAAAAGCGGTCATGTGTCATTTCATGCACTTTGTATGCTGGTCCAGATTTTTTGGCAGACCTGATTAATGTTGTATATTGCTGTGGTGTGTAAATAGGGCCTGATTTTATGTGCCTTTTCACCTGCTTCTCTATAACGCTGTGAACATTGTCCCCTTCGTTTTGCGAATGGCCTGTAATTCAAAACTTATGAGTGATAGATTTTACTCTCATATTGAACACAGCATAGGCATAAGCAGATAACAAGTACTTGTTTTTTTGTTGCCCGCAACAGTTGTCTGCGTAAAATATTGGATCTATGTCTTCAATAGGATGATTATTGAGCAGCATTTCGATGAAAGTTAAAATACAGCTTCCGATTTCTACTGAACCACGCTTTCCTTCAGTTTCATCCCAGAAAAAACAAACCACATTCTTTGCATACAAATCACTAATAGTAAAATTAAAACAATTTATTCTAGACTTGTAAAAGAACAGAGACACTTGCCCTTTAGGAATTGGCATTACTGCGTGGAGATCATAAACGACTACTATAGCATCTGATTTTTTCTTGTCCCTTTCTTTCTCACTTCGCGCTAGGTCTTTCTCAAATACATGTTGTTCGTAGGCTTGCATTCGCATCCGCATGTTTGTAGCTCTCACAGAAATCGCACAAGTCTTTTTAGGGCTAAAAAAGTCAATGTTGAATTGATAGTTGAATATGCGTTGAAATGTTGATTCGGAAGCAAATGGCAAGTCATAAGCTTGGCGTAAGCATTTAAGGTTCCGGTAAATATCTGCTAATGATCTTTCGCTTTGAATGTATTCGCGAGTAGTCCGAGCTCGAAGATAGTGCGATTCAACCCGTGGAATTGAGTTGATAAATTGAACAACGCTTTCTTTAACTACAAGATCTATCGTAGGATGATTTCCATGTTTTCCTCTGTCTCTCTCTCTATAAACCCTGCTTTCGTCTTTTCGGTTAACGCTGTTTTAATTACTTGATCACCTAAATCAAGCGTGGCCTTAAAAAAGGTCTTGCAAACACGACTGCGCGATTTATTTTCTTCAAAATAGAAGGCCGTATTTAGAGCCCGGAAGTTTTTCGTGCTTGAGTATTAATACTTGGGCTTTATTTCATGAGTATGTCGTACAATGTACTTCCTCTGTCGCTGAAGATCACCGAGTTTCCAAAATGCTTCTAACCATTTTTGACGAGTTGTTAAGTTAAACTTGGTACTACATTTCAAACGACACTTCTCCGCAAGGTGGTCGAATTTTGCGAGCAGGTATTTCTTTTTTAGTTTACCCCTCGACTTGTAAGAAACTTGCCTGAATTTTTGAGGGCTTTGGCTATATTGA